TTTATATAGTTCATTCAACTCATTTGCATTAAATGAATAAATAGAAGGTCATAGGTATAGCAAAACACTCAAATGTATTAGATTACAACACATCTATATACTTTACAGTTATTTTGAAACATTGTTACATTGAAACAAACCTTCGAATAAAAAACTGAAAATTAAATGACAAGAAATAGGAAATGTTAGATAGAAAATAGAAACTGTCACCGTTTGCTTTAAAAAAATATTATGCCTTACATAGTAAAAAACAGACAGTCACAAGAGAGGAAACATAACAGTCACAAGAGAGTAATACAGTTGCAGAAGTATAACAATTTCGTTGTCACTCTAAGCCCCAATCCTTTCGTGCAAGCGAACTGAGAAACAACAGCTTGTTTAAGTGCTCACCGGATAGTCTGCTCCGATTGTCGGTTTTGATGTCACCAGCTTGAGAAAACAGCCGTTCGGATGGCACCGACGTGCCAATAATACTGATATATTTTATTGCCAATTTGTACAATGACGGAAATGCTAGTTTCATTGATGACCAATACTTGAGAGGATTTTCACAGCGCGGGATGACTGGTTGGCTCAAATATTGTCTCATTTCAAAACTGACGTTTTCGCTGTGAGTATTGTAGTCAGCTTTAGTCGCAACCAAGTGATCATGAAAATTCCAGAGATCGTTTTTTTCCGTCAATTGAACGGGTACTTTTTCATACATTTTTTGTACGGTATCCTTTTTAATGTAATCATTAATTTGCGATATTGCAGAAGAAGCAGCCAGAGCACTCTCAAAGTGAATTTTTTTGAATCTCGGATCCAGTACGTTTGAAATGGCTAGTATTTTGCGAAACTCAAAATCTTTAAATCGTCTATCAATTGTTGCTTCGAGTTTTTCTTTAAACTCGTGTCCACACTTTGTTAAAGGCTTACTTTCTCGAACAGCCACTTTCAGGCAGCGAACTAACGGAATAATAACGCTACATGTTGGATAAGAGTCTCCACTTACTTCAGTGATAACACATTCGACTGGTTTCATAAGGGATACGATATCTTTCAGCATTTTCATTTCTTCTCGTTTTAACATATCTGGTGTAGTCGGACACTTAGACATAACCGGATAAACGTATTCCTCGAGAGTGAGAAATCTTTCAAGCATGTAGAGCGTCGAGTTCCAACGTGTAGGAACATCTTGAATAAATTTTAATGTAGTTCCTTCCGTTTTTCCGTCTCGCATTTGCAGCTTCTTTAATTCATCGCAAGCCACGACGCTTCTTCTTGTAATTGTGACGATAGCCTTCACTTTTGCAATCGTTTCCTGTACAGTGGGCATAGCGACTAGTACGTCTGGTACGAGATGAGATAGAGTATGCGCAAAGCAGGCTTTTTTT